CTTGGAGTTTATAACCTATTTAGAGTATCTCTTTATTGAAAACAATTATTAATAAAGCTAATTTGGTAGAATTTTTATGTGTGACCTAGGCCTGAGAAATGGATGGGACTACAAGTTCTTGAACTTTAGTTTCTGTGGTACACCCAGGTCAATATATCTATAAAATCAGGTAACTGGTTATCTAAGTATGATAATTTCTAAAGACAGAATGAGATACTAGTCTTGATTAAGCAGATGTCAGCTTTAAAACAAAGCAAAAAATTTAGAAATAGGTGTAATTTTCAGAAATCATTCAACAAAAGATAGCAAAAGCTTTATTTGAACTATATAATATAGGGAATATAAAACTTCTTCCAAAAAATTTAACAAACAGTAAGACAAAAAAGGACAGGTATTAACCCAGATTTTGTCTCTCTACATGAAGACTAGAAAGATGAGAGAGGATCCTTACAGTACATGTAAGAATTATTTGGATCATGCTTGAGTCCAGGGAGAGAGTGTATTAGTTATCTATTGCTATGACAAATTACCTCAGAACTCAGTGGCTTAAAACAGCAAACGTTTGTTATCTCACAGTGTCTGTGGATCAGAAATTTAGACAGCTTAGCTGAGGCTACAGTCAGGATGTGGGTAGGGGCTGCAGGCTTGATAGGGGCTAGAGGATTGCCCTTCAGGGTGGTTCAGTCACATGCGTGTTGGCAGGAGGCCTCAGTTCCTCACCACGTGGGCCTCTCCATAGGGCTGCTGCAGTGTCCTCAACATGGCAACCAGCAAGTCCCAGACTTAGTGATCAAAGAGAGAACAAGGCAGCCTCCACAATGTCTTTTATGTCCTAGCCTCAGAAGGGACATAACATCACATCCGCCGGACCCTACTTGTCACACAGGCCAACGCTGATACAGTGTGGGAGGGACCACACAAGGGCATGAATGTCAGGAAGCGAGACCAGTATCATTGGTCATTTTGGAGACTGGCTGCTTTTGCTTTCAGTTGATGAGCTGTTGTTGCCAAGAGGAAACATTTTATTTATGCCTCATTAAGATAAAGGCATTAATTCATTTAACAAATACTTGTTGAGTATCCACCATGTGTCAGGAATTGTTGTAGTTACTAGGAATATAGCAGGGAATAAAACAGCAATCTCTGTCCATGGAGTTTATAGGATAGAGGATTAGAAATGAGTTTTTAAAATATATATACAATAGCGTATTGGGTGGCAGTGAGTGCCACAGAAAAAAATAAAACCTAGAGAGAGGGCTAGGGAATGAAGGCCAGGCGGTTGAGGAGGGAGGTTGCAATTTTAAATAGAGTAGGTGGAAGAGACTTCACTAATAAGGTGACACTTGATCTGAGATATAAAGAAGGTGGTAAAGGAAGCTATGTGGTTAATTGAGAGGAGAAAAGTTCTAGGCAGAGGAAGAGAGAGCATAGGAAGTGCAGAAAGCCTGGGGCAGGTGTCTTTGGCATGTTTGAGGAGCAGCCAGGAAACCAGTGTGTAGCCAGAGCCAGCTTGAGTAAGGGGGGAGAGACGGATATGAGATGGAGAGGCAGCCTTGGACCCATTTTTGAGGGACTTGAGGGTGATTTTAACCCATTGTAAGGGGCCTTGTGTTTTGTAGACATTTGGAGCTCAGCTTTTCCATTGCTCCATTTTCTGAGTGGAAGCCACTGACTTCTTCACATTTTTATTGAGAATTTCAAAAACCTAGACAAAAATTTCAAATACCACCATCCCACTTATTGATCTTATCAACTTACATAGTATGCATCTTCAAATACCAACGTTTAAATCTCTTTTCTAGTTCCTTCAAAGGGACCAGATACTTGGAGAGAGTGGAGTTCTGACGGAAAAAATTTAATAATATATTGGAAGGTAAATATCTAATTCTTCCTTGAATATTTAAATAACTTTATTATGCTGAACTACTTAACTTACATATGGTACCTGGGTTATCAGGCAGCCAGGATTTCCCAGACTGGCTTAGCGTACAGTACTGCTGAGAATGTAACCTGGCTTCTAAAAGTCCCAGATTCCACATCACTGCAGATGCACCACGGTCACTGTAGTGAGGATCTCTGTCAAGAGCTGAGCATTCTTTAGTTTGATTTTATGAGGCCTGTAAAGGACTGAGGATTTCATGAATTCCATCTCTCTCACTTTAGTCAGAAATGCAGCCAGAAACCACAAGTTAGAATCTCAAGTGTTTATGTTGTATTTTCAATTCAATGACTAGGAAACCAACTTTTTATATATATCATGTGTAATTTGTTATCCCCTAAGTAAATTGCATTATAATATGACAATTATAAAGTTTTACATAGTTTTCTAAAATTTTAGATAAAGTATGAATTGCATTATGTTTTACTAGCTTTTCCTTACCAGAGCAGATGTTTTTGTTGCTGTATTTTTTTATCTGATTTATGAACATCAAAACCATGAACAATTGTCTTCTACACCAGATTTCATAGGAACGGTTATAACCAGATTCTTTTAAACAGTGAATTTTGTTATTGAAATTTAAACTATTATTTTTATAAAAATTTGACATCTTTACAGCTTTAAGTAAAGTAAATCTTTGAAGTCTGTGAGCAAGTTGTGTACAAATTCCATTGCTTCGAGGTTGTCTGTATATGACTGTGCATCCCCTCTTACTCTTGATTAGCAAATCCCCTGGCTACTCTCAGTTGTCTGTCAGATTTCACAATAATATAGTAACAATCATATAAATTACTTCAGTGTGAGAAAGTTTAGAATATTGTTCAAACGAGATAAATGTTTAACCAAGGATTAAAATTACTGAAGCGATTTGGATTCTAACTTCAGTGACTAGTTGATGGTTCTGCCACATTTGGTTGGAAAATTAAGTTGTTTTGGACATGTTGAGTTTTTTAAACATGTGCCACAAGGATATCTGAGTACAGTTCAGTAGGAGGTGGTTTGATGTAAGGTTCTGGAGCTCGGGAGAGGTCTGAGCTAAAGACATAGCTGTGAGTAAGCATATAAGTGGGATCACTCAGGGAGAGCACACAGGGTAGAAAGAGGCCAAGAGTGGAACTGTAGGTGATGGCAGGATATAAAGCACCAGCAAAGGAGGAGGATCCAGCAGGGGAGATTGGGAAGGCCAGAGAGGCAGGAAGACCAGAAGAAAATAGCTTTTGCAGAAACCAGGGGAGGGGGATGTGTGAAGGAATGAATAGTATCAAATGAAACCCACAAGTCTTAGGATGGTAACATGTCTACTTTACCAGGCCATTGGAGAGCTATCGGGGAACTCTGTTGGAGCAGAGTCTTCAGCAGAGTATGAATGTCAGTGTCAGTCTGGATCAGAGGGTCCCATGTACTGTTATATGAATTAGAGCAATTATTTTCAAAAGCAGTTTAGCTATATAAATAAAGAAGTTTGAATGTGAGGGAGACCTTCAAGATGGCGGAGGAGTAAGACATGGAGATCACCTTCCTCCCCACAAATACATCAGAAATACATCTACACGTGGAACAACTCATACAGAACACCTACTGAACGCTGGCAGAAGACCTCAGACCTCCCAAAAGGCAAGAAACTCCCCCACATACCTGGGAAGGGCAAAAGAAAAAACAGAGACAAAAGAATAGGGACGGGACCTGCACCTCTAGGAGGGAGCTGTGAAGGAGGAAAAGTTTCCACACACTAGGAAGCCCCTTCACTGGCGGAGACAGGGGGTGGCGGGGCGGAAGCTTCGGAGCCACAGAGGAGAGCGCAGCAACGGGGGTCCAGAGGACAAAGCGGTGAGACTCCCACACAGAGGATCAGTGCCGAATAGCACTCACCAGCCTGAGAGGCTTGTCTGCTCACCCGCCAGGGTGGGCGGGGCTGGGAGCTGAGGCTTGGGCTTCGGAGGTCAGACCCCAGGGATAGGACTGGGGTTGGCTGCGTGAACACAGCCTGAAGGGGGCTGGTACACCACAGCTAGCCAGGAGGAAGTATGGGACAAAGTCTGGAAATGCCTAAGAGACAAGAGACCATTGTTTTGGGGTGGACAAGGAGAGGGGATTCAGAGCACCACCTAAACAAGCTCCAGAGACGGGCATGAGCCACAGCTATCAGCGTGGACAACAGAGACAGGCATGAGACACTAAGGCTGCTGCTGCAGCCATCAAGAAGCATGTGAGCGGTGAGCACAGGTCACTGTCCACACCTCCCTTCCAGGGAGCCTGTGCAGCCTGCCACTGCCAGGGTCCCGTGATCCAGGGACAACTTCCCCAGGAGAACATACAGTGCGCCTCAGGCTGGTGCAACATCAGGCAGGCCTCTGCCGCTGCAGGCTCGCCCCGCATTCCGTATCCCTCCCTCCCCCCAGCCTGAGTGAGCCAGAGCCCCCGAATCAGCTGCTCCTTTAACCTCGACCTGTCTGAGCTAAGAACAGATGCCCTCAGGTGACCTACATGCAGAGGCGGGGCTAAGTCTAAAGCTGAACTCCAGGAGCTGTGTGAAAAAAGAAGACGAAGGGAAATCTCTCCCGGCAGTCTCAGGAGCAGCGGATTAAATCTCCACAACAACTTGATGTACCATGCGTCTGTGGAATATCTGAATAGTCAACGAATCATCGCAAAGTTGAGGCAGTGGACTTCGGAAGCAATTGTAGACTTGGGGTTTGCTTTCTGCATCAGATTTGTTTCTGGTTTTATATTTATCTTAGTTTAGTATTTAGAGTTTACTATCATTGGTAGATTTGTTTATTGATTTGGTTGTTCTCTTCCTTTTTTTTTTAATATAGATACATATATTTTTTCCTTTTTCTCTTTTTTTAAGTGTGTATGTGTATGCTTCTTTGTGTGAATTTGTCTGTATAGCTTTGCTTTTACCATTTGTCCTAGGGGTGTGTCTGTCCGTTTTTTTTTGTTTTCTTTGTTTTTGTATAGTTTTTAGCACTTATTATCATTGGTGGATTTGTTTTTGGGTTTGGTTGCTCCCTTCTTTCTTTCTTTGTTTTTCTTTCTTTTAATTATTTGATTGATTGATTAATTAATTAATTAATACATTTATTTATTTATTTTTGGCTGCATTGGGTCTTTCTTGCTGTGCGCGGGCTTTTCCCTAGTTGTGGCGAGCGGGGACTACTCTTTGCTGCTGTGCGCAGGCTTCTCATGGCAGTGGCTTCTCTTCTTGTGGAGCACGGGCTCTAGGCACGCAGGCTTCAGTAGCTGTGGCTCGCAGGCTCTGGAGTGCAGGTTCAGAGGTTGTGGCACACGGGCTTAGGTGCTCCACGGCATGTGGGATCTTCCTGGACCAGAGCTCGAACCTGTGACCCCTGCATTGGCACGTGGATTGTCAACCACTGCGCCACCAGGGAAACCCAATTTTTGTTATTTTTAATAAGTTTTTTTATATTTTATTTTAATAACTTTATTTTATTTAATTTTATTTTTTTCTTTCTTTTTCTTCTCCCTTTTCTTCTGAGCTATGTGGCTGACAGGGTCTTGGTGCTCAGGCCGGGTGTCAGGCCTGAGCCTCTGAGGTGGGAGAGCCGAGTTCAGGACATTGGTCCACCAAGACCTCCCAGCTCCACGTAATACGAAACGGTGAAAGCTCTCCCAGAGATCTCCATCTCAACACTAAGACCCAGCTCCACTCAACGACCAGCAAACTACAGTGCTGGGCACCCTATGCCAAACAACTAGCAAGACAGGAACACAACCCCACCCATTAGCAGAGAGGCTGCCTAAAATCATAATAAGGTCACAGACACCCCAGAACACACCACTGGACGCGGTGCTGCACACCAGAAAGAAAAGATCCAACCTCATCCCCCAGAACACAGGCACCAGTCCCCTCCACCAGGAAGCCTACACAACCCACTGAACCAACCTTATCCACTGGGGGCAGACACCAAAAACAACGGGAACTACGAACCTGCAGCCTGCGAAAAGGAGACCCCAAACACAGTAAGTTAAGCAAAATGAGAAGACAGAGAAACACACAGCAGATGAAGGAGCAAGGTAAATACCCACCAGACCAAACAAATGAAGAGAAATAGGCAGTCTACCTGAAAAAGATTTCAGAGTAATGATAGTAAAGGTGATCCAAAATCGTGGAAATAGAATGGAGAAAACACAAGAAACGTTTCACAAGGACCTAGAAGAACTAAAGAGCAAACAAACAATGATGAACAACACAATAAGCGAAGTTAAAAATTCTCTAGAAGGAATGAATAGCAGAATAACTGAGACAGAACAGGGGATAAGTGGCCTGGAAGATAAAATAGTGGAAATAACTACCACAGAGCAGAATAAAGAAAAAAGAACGAAAAGAATTGAGGACAGTCTCTGAGACCTCTGGGACAACATTAAACAAACCAACATTCAAACTATAGGGGTCCCAGAAGAAGGAGAGAAAAAGGGACTGAGAAAATATTTGAAGAGATTATAGCTGAAAACTTCCCTAATATGGGAAGGGAAATAGTCATCAAGTCCAGGAAGCGCAGAGAGTCCCATACAGGATAAATCCAAGGAGAAACATGCCAAGACACATATTAATCAAACTATCAAAAGTTAAATACAAAGAAAAAATATTAAAAGCATCAAGGGAAAAGCAACAAATAACATATAAGGGAATCCGCATAAAGGTTAACAGCTGATCTTTCAGCAGAAACTCTCCAAACCAGAAGGGATTGGCAGGACCTATTTAAAGTGATGAAAGGGAAAAACCTACAACCAAGATTACTCTGCCCAGCAAGGATCTCATTCAGATTTGACGGAGAAATTAAAAGGTTTACAGATAAGCAAAAGCTAAGAGAATTCAGCACCACCAAACCAGCTTTACAACAAATGCTAAAAGAAGTTCTCGAGGCAGGAAACACAAGAGAAGGAAATAACTTAAAATTACAAACCTAAAA